AATAAAATCGTCCCTCCCCATGTGAATACTGATGTTACAAGTTATTAAATTAGTTTTTCAAACATCGATGTTTTTGGGTCGATGCATTTTGAACATCGATTTATACAATTTGAACATAGAGTTTGAAGCATGATGTGGCATTCCCAGCGCTCACGGACTAGGGATACGACATCAACAACATCGACGATGTCAAACATTAAATTCGTGAGCATTCAAATTTAATTTTACCGCGTCCGTATATATAATTACAATTTAACTGAAAACTGTTATAAAACGCCTCTCCATGTGCGAAATAGGAGGAAAGACAAACATTAGGACGAGAGCGAGGCGACGGATAGCCTGGTCGATGAAGCTGTAGTATCATCAGTTCTTATTTCGAAATTTAAATTTTACAGAATTGTGATTATGGGAATTTTTCATCAACGAACGAATAATAGAAAATCTAAAAACATCGATGTTCCGGTTTCAATACATCCCTAGAAGGGATGCGACATCGATGACGATGTTTTAAAAACATCGATATTTCTATATCATGTTTTTACTTTTCAATATTTTGTTCCTGGATGAAAAATTCCAATAACCACAATTGTGAACAAGTTAACATACGAAATACTAATGTTGCCACTGTGTGTATTGTGTATGAACCAAATGCGCTTTCCTTCATCGAGCACACAAAATCCACGATGGAGATAATCCTCATGACCTGATATTTCTTTCGTATTTCCCATGTGGGGTGGCGTTTTAACTTAGCTCTCTTTTAAATTTTAACTAAAAATGAATATCCACCTGCTACTATCAAATTAAAGTTTGTTGCGCAGGAATTTAATGTAAGAGATTAGGGAGTTTGTGGCACTTATAAAGTTAAAGCACTATCAATCTTCTGCTCATGCGCAGTTCAAATTTCGCACCATTTTGGTGCATTTGCGCCCGCGCAGAAGATCGATACTGCTGACGCTATGGCGTGCTCAAACTCCCTATTACTGACCTAGCTTTCAAACATCGATGGTTTTTGGTAGATGTATCATCAACATCGATGTTTCAGTAGGGAGTTTGTGACAGCTCGAACATTAAAGCACTATGCCCAGTTTCGCACCATTTTAGTGCATCTGTAAAGAACCTGTCACAAGTATTGTACTTCAGCTTCTGGGTCAATGACCCCCATCTCGATCAGGTTTTCGTCCACTTTCCCGGATCCTCGAGCAAGTGCTGAGATGGTCCCTTGTGTTGCTTCTGGACATAAATGTAACTTCAAATTAACTTCTCCGCATAGCACGTCATACACAGTTTTTCACTGTTTTTGACGTAAATAATTAAATAAATAAATAAAAATCTGCGCATGCGCAGGAGATCGACAGTGCTGGCGCTACGGCGTGCACAAACTCTCGAAACTCCCTAGGTTCAAACATCGATGTTTGACAACATCACCGTTCTGTTGTCGATGTCGCATCTCTAAACCCTAGCCCCGAGCGCGGCGAGGGTATGGCGGGGACATGGCGGGGACATGGCGGGCGCGGAGCCGTGTGAGGCGCG